TTACTGATACAGTTTATCAACTTCTTTGCAACTTAGTGTCTCAGCAGTGACTTGCCACTATGTGTCACAGGGAGGACTGGAACCTGAGTCTTTCTGCCTCTAAGAGGCGTTCCACTCTCCGCTATGCCACACCCCATTTTTCTCCGGAAAGGAGAGTGAAGCAAGCATTTATTAAGCGCCTGTTCTATACTAGGTTCTGTGCTACATGTTTTATTTGTATTATCTCACTTGTTTGGAATGATGTTGTCTGCTAATTGTCATCTACAACACAGGAACTTCACCAGGCTTGTCAATGTGATAATCCATAGAGAGAAATAGAGTCCAAGTCAAACCAAAAAAACAAAGCCCAAACTGCCCAAACCAACTTCTTCTTAATGACAAGTGACCTGGAGATCTGTTCTGGCCTATAGCCCCTCATTTTCAGCCAGAGCTTGGTATGGGCATACAGAGAGCAGAGAGCTGAGCCCATTGCACTGGGCATGGGGATAATGGAGAGATGTTTCAGAAGTAACAGGATCCCTAGGGGATGTTAAGGAATGTCACATACCAATAAAATTGCAGTACTAAGAATCCCAGGGAATCCCAGTTTCTAAATGGATAATTTAGTTCCTTTTCTCTTTTGAAATTCTATGTAACAGAGCCCTCTGAGGGAAACCCTCATCGGTAGACACCAACTTGAGACTGCAGTTTCGCACCTTGATTCCTTGGCTACTGAGAGGTGTCTGTTCTCCCTGGTGGGAGCATAGCCCTCTCGGTTCTGAATCGACCCCGTTTCTGTCACTGGCAGTTTTGACAAAGCCCATCCCTCCTTACCGCCAAGTTTGAGTCTCATGGATTGTCTAACCCCGCTCCCCCAGAGTAAAAGAGCTGATGGTCTTTAGTGGGGATTTGGATCTTGATAAAAAAGCTCAAGCTAACCCTGTGTTGGGAAGAGAAATCAGCCCTGCTGTGAATTGCTCCAGAGTTCAGGCTAACCCTGAGGGAGACTGTGGAGAAAAGAATTTCATTTAATTAGAACAAAAGGTAAATATTTCAGAGACCAGAAAAAGTGGGGTCTCCAAGAAGGTAGAAGGAAGGTCAGAAGGAAAGAGAAGTGCTTTAATCTCATATAGGTCAACTGTAAGGTACAAATAGTAATAATAATAATAATAATAATAATAATAATAATAATAATAATAATATAATAACAGATAACAGTTATGTAGTGCTTTAAATTTTACAAAGCTCTTTATATATATTATCTCAGTTGAGCCATGCACTCTGAGATAGGTGCTACTATTGTCCTCATTTTGCAGATGAAAGTGAGGCATGGAGGTTAAATAAAATGCCCAGCATCACACAGCTAGTGTCTGAGGGAAGATTCAAACTCAGGTTTTCCTGATTCCATGTCCAGCACTCCCATCTATCCACTGGGCTGTTCCAAAGCTGTTTTTAATTTGCTGGGTTCCAGTGAAGAAGCAGCCTTCCAGCTCACTGCCTTTGGAATTTATGGGGAAATACATTGACAAGAACAAAATGACTTCATTAGGATAAAGAAACTTGGACTTTTAACAAATTCAGTTCAATTCTGTAAACACTTTCTGAGTACCTACTGTGTGCTAGTTGCTAGGGATATGAAGAGAAAAATTAAGTGTCTCCTGGCTTTAGCAGAGATAAGTAAATAGAAAAATGTAAAGGAAGTAAGTTCACAGTCACTTTCTTCAGTGAGGCATGGAGGGGAGCATTCAGGAAGGGGTTAGGGCAGGTAAATCTTTATGGGGCTCCAGGTCTCCTTGGTCAGCTCATAGTTCTTGCAGAGCAGTTGTTTAACTAATAGGAAGGCCAATGGTTTGCTTAACTTTGAAAAACAAGCCTCTCCTTTCTCCATGTCAGTCCGACTCATCCAGACTGATGATGGCAGCCTGGCCTCATCCTGCCCTCCCCTTCTTGCTCAGCTGCCAGCTCCTGTCAATTTCTCTCCTCCATCATCTCTCCCCATCCATCTCCTGGGCACCATTCCTGCTTAGAGCATTCTGCTCAGGCCCTCGTTACCTCTTGCCTACAATGGTATCTTATTTCAATTCCCTACCCAGCAACCCTAAGATCCTAAACTGAGTCACTTCTTGTTTCTTAATCTCATCAGTTCTCTCCCATCTCTGTGCCTTTGCTTACTCTGTGTCCTCTGCATAGAACAGAGAGCAGTCATAGCTGCTGCCTGATGGAAGTAGGATCTTTCTTCAAGGTCAAGGTCAAATTCAAATTCCCCTAAGCCTTTCCTGATTTCCTCCTCCCCTATCCCAGCTTAATGTAAAGCTTTCCCTACAGCAATCACTCTGCATCTTCCTTTGACCTCTCATGTAATTATATCCTTACATGTAGCACAGTTATTTGGAAATGTCTCATTTCCAGGCTTAGATTGTAACTTCCTTGAGGGTAAGGGCTGAGTCATTTTTCATTTTTGTACACCAAGATGTATATACATACTATGTCTATATCTAGTTCCGTAAAATTTTTATTGTTGCCTTTTAGAAATACCAATTATTTCCCCTTATTGTCCTTTTTCCCTCCCATGTTGAATACTCCCTGGTATCAAGGAAAATCATTTAAGCAAACCCAATACCTACCGGGACTGCTTTTGATTGACTATGCACACCTCACGTCTGTAGTCTCCAGTCCTTCTGTTGAAAGGAGGCATGTGTGTTTCAACATTGGTTTTCCCATTTCTTGTGGTTTTCCTACACTGAAATTGGTCATTACAATTAATTGTCTGTTAGAGTTGTTATTATTGTTCACCTGGCTTTACTTTTCTCCCCTGTTCACACAAAATTTCCTGTATTTCCCATTATCATAACTTCTTTAGGCACAATATTATTCTGTTATATTCACATATCACAACTTGTTCACTACTTCCCATAAGATAGGCATTCACTTTCTGTCCAGTTTTTGCATGCTTTTTATGGTGAATTGAATTTATTTGTTTTGAAGATTCAATCCCTAAGGATTAGAATCCCATATTTTCTTCATTGTATCCAGAACCTCCCAAATTTTCCAAGATGGTACTTCTCAGGCAAGCTCAGAGGCTCATAGAATCCCAGATTTAGAGCTGGAATGTAATGGAGGGCCATAGAGTTCAAACCTCTATTTTACAGATGAATTAACTCAGTATTAGAGAAGGGAAATGACTTCCCTGAAGTCACACAGCTGGTAAACATGTACTCTTTTTGAGATCAGTGCCCAATACCAAGCGACTCCCATTGGCAGAAGACATGAAATGGTGTTGATTGGGCACATTGTAAGTTCATGCCATCTCACCCCAACTGGGCCCTCATTACTGCATCTCAGGACAAACCTTTTATTTATCTCTAATGACCTCCCTCTCTGTCACCACCAAAAGGGATGCTCCAAACCTTGCCCTGAAGGTTCCCTTGCCAACACTCTCCTCTCTCAGAGGAAAACCTTGACTCCTTTCCCAGTAGGATTAATGTTACCTGTTGTGATCTCTTTCATCTCCCTTCCTCAGTAGTTCAAATGCTTACTTAGAAACACCTCAGACGGTTGCTACCTGTATGATCCTGGGCAAGTCATTAATGCCCCTGTGCCTCAGTTTACTCATCTGTAAAGTGAACTTGAAGGCCCCTGAGGTCCCTTTAATCTCTAGATCTGTGATCTGAGGAAACCCTTACTATTTTCATCCATCTTCTCCTTCCCTCTGATCTCAGCAGATAGGGAGGCCTTCCATCCTGCCAAAGTGACCCTTTCTGCTTGTGATTTCTGGAACCCTCTCCTTTCAAACCTCACTTGGGTCTCTCTAGGCTACAAAGAAAAAAAAGAAGAAATAACAATACTTTTGTCATCCTGCTGCTTCTTCAAGTTTCACAGCTAAATCACCTTCAGCAGCTCCTAGAGCCCTCGGTGGTCTGATTTGTGTTCCCCTCCCCCTACTCTGCTGTCTCCACGGCCCCTTACCTGATAGATCCAAAAGCCCAGTCCTGCTCAGCCCCCTCCCCCTCGACATCTTGCCAGCCTGTTTGGACCTGTCTCTTGTCTCAGTACCCAGGCTTCAGTGACACTGGCCTCTCCTGGTTTTGATTCTTCCTTCCCTGGCTGCTCCTCCTCCTCCTCCTCCTGAGAGTGGCAGGCATCCCTTGAGCCATTACAGCCCTTCTCCCTTCCTCTCTGTCTCCATTCTCTTCCTGGGCAATCCAATCAACTCTAGAACTTCCATTTTCCCATCTCTGCCTAGGGTGTCCAAGTCTGTGTATCTAATCCCCATCTCTACCCTGAGTTCCAGTTCTCCTTTTCTGATGGCCTGCTGGACACATTACCTGGGTGACATAGGGAAAAGAGCCCTGGACTGGAGTCAGAGGACCTGAGTTCAAATTCTGACTCTGACTCTTATTAGTGTGACCTTGGTCAAGTCACCTGCTTTGTATATTTTTGTATATACCTGTATGTATCTACATGTACATATACCACATGTATATGTTGTCTCTTCTTTTAGAATGCGTTCTCCTTGAGGACAGGGCCTGTTTTGTTTTTGCCCAGCTCATAGGAGGCCAGATGCTTTCTTTCAGTGCTTTGAAAGTCTCCTTTGTCCTTGTCATATTTATCCTTACATCATTCTTATTTGTGATATCTCCACCCCTACCCCATCACATCATAAGTGGCAGAATGGATTCGAGTTCTACCGGATTTGGAGTCAAAGAACCTAGGTTCAGATTCTACTTCTGACCTTTGTTCATCCTTGGCAAAGTCCCTTCTCTCCCAGGCTTCAGTTTCCTCATCTGTGAAATGCTGTGGTTGAACTAGATGACCTCTAAGGTTCCTCCCCATCCTAAGTCTCTGACCCTGTGGTCCTTTCACCTCAACATCCTGTGAAGTGAGATTTAACTCATGGGCCGCCATAGACTTATTTCATGGTGGGGCAGGGTGTGTTTTGTTTTTTAAGCTCTGACTTTGAATCCAAAGTGGGGGGGAGGGAAGCATCTCATTCCAGATTGTGTCGCTCTCTCTCTCCTCAGATCAGACCCCGACTCCCACTAGATTCCTGAAGAACTGCGAGGAGGTGGGCCTCTTCAATGACATTGACTGCTCCCTTGAGCACGAGTTTCGGAAGGCCCAGGAGGAAGAGACCAGTAAAAGGGTAAGCTGAGTTCATGGGAGCTTCCACTCCCCCCTTCCAGGCTATAGACCTCTGTCACCTCTTAGAAGCCTTTGGTTGGAAAGTAGGTGGCACTGCAGATTGTGGCTGAGTGTGGCTTCAGAAATGCTCCATTCATTCTCCATGTGCTTGCCTGGAGAAAGAAATTTGCTGAGCCCTCCTGCTGAATACAGAGTTTGGGACTGTCAATTCCCCAGCCAGCAAAACCACAAGGCAAATAAGGCATCTGGAAGGTGAAATAAAAGCAAAGCCTGCATGGTTCTCTAAGAGAACCTTCAGCTTCAGCTAGCTTCCTACCTTTTCCATGTAGGATAAGTGGGCATCCGAAAATCCAGTTTCTCTAATGGATAACAGCAAGCATTATGCGGGTGGAGAATTGGGGATGACCTGGAAAATGGGAGAATAATAAAGGAATCCAAGTGGAAGGGTCATTTGGACCCCAGTCTTAGCTGCCCACATGGCTTCTTCTGTCTCTGAGTTAGTCCCTAAGTAGCAAACCAAACTTTACAAAATTTTAACCAGTATTAAATTGTTTGACAATCACTGCTTTATAATATCATGTGTGGTTGGAAAGTACTCTTTCCCCTTCCTGCTTTTTTTTTTCTTTCATGATTTTCCTTGGTATCCTAGAACCTTTATTTATTTATTTTAGTATTTTGTCTAAACCTATAAATAGCCCCTTGGCAGTTTAAAGGGTATAATACTAAATCTGTAAGTTAATTTTGGTAGTATTGGCATTTTCATTTTATTGGTATGGTCTCACTATCTGCTGAATATTCTTATGATTATTTAAGTTGTTCTTTATTTCTTTAAGGATGGGACAACATCCTTAAACACAAGGTTGACTGAGGTCCCTTCCAGTTCTGAAATTCTTTGATTCTGATTCTGGGACTCTACCCACAATTCCATGCCTCCTTTTAAAGTACAGGTTGCCTAACGTTGGATATGCTTTACCTTGTCATGATAACCATTGTACATTTTGGAGCTAGAAATGTGGTAGGTAGGTGACTGTGGAGGCAGGACAAAGGGGATTGGGAAGGGTTGTCAGGCACAGGGGCATGTAGATCTCCTGATGAGTTTGATTAGAAGAGCATCTGGAAAAAGTCTGTCTGTCAGGATAGGAAGGGGATTTTCCGATATTGTTGTCCTATCTCCTCCCTGAACTCTGATGGGTGACTTATCCCACCCTCTATAGCCTTCTCAACTCTACAACAATTTCATGTGCCGAGCATTAGGTAAGGGAAACATTATGGAATCTTCCACCCTCTGCCTCCAACTTTGTTTTGTTCAAGATCAGAATGGTCAACTTGGCTGGAGGCAGACATAGGTATGTTGAGGGTATTTCCATAGTCCCTTGTCTATGAACTTCAGGACTGACTCTGCCAGTTTCCTTATAAAGGGTGATGGCTCATATAATGGAGACAGCTACTGGCCTAGGAGTCGTCAGAGGTTCTGGGTTCTAATCCTGGTTGGTCATTTACTGTGTATGGAACCTTAGGTTAATCTCCCTCACTGGGCCTCAAGCTTTCATCCATTCAATGACAGAGCTGGCTTAGATCACCTTCGATGTCCCTTCTAGCCCTAGGTCTGTGACCCTATGAGCTCCTTGGAGGATGAAGAACAGGGAGGGATATGTGTTGGAGAGGGAAGGAAAATCTGCCACGTCAGGCCCTAGGCTTTCAACTTACTTCTCCACCCACACTTGCACCCCAGATGACAGCTTGCATTCCCTTCTCCCTACATAAAGAATGCAAACACATAGACCACACACTTTCATTGCAACCTAACACATTATGCTCTGCTAGCATGTCCATAAGCCTTTCTTATTAAACCTGTGCTTTCTAATTGAATCCCATTTCTCTTGTACCTAACATGTGCTTAATAAGACTTGCTGAAGTGAATTGAATTCCAGAATTAAATTGAATTGTGCAGTTTAAGTGTTGGGATCCAGAGGAGAATATGAACCCAGGTCTGTGGACTAGGTTCATTTCACAACAGATGAGCATTCTGTAATTGTTTCATTTTTTTTTCTGTTTCAGTTTCCATTGCTTTAGCTAGCTTAAATTCAAGTGTTTAAACTGTAACTTGTAAAATGAGCTCTTTGTTAAAAAAATAAGCTGTGAATAGCCCAGTGACTGCGAGTGATCTCAGGTTGCTTATGGGAGAGGCACTGTCTTAAGCATAGTCTGTTCTGTGGGATTTCACTTTATCAGCCCAGAGAGCTCAGAAACCCTCTCCTTGCCGGTCACTCTTCAGTGGCCCATGAACAGCAGCAAGGCCATTCTACTCCATAGGTAACTCTTGCTTCTCCCAATCTCTGAGTCACTCAATGGCATGGATCTTCAAGATGGCAACCAGGGTTGAGGGCAATTTGTTTGTTTATAAATTTAAATGACCTCTATGGGGATTAAGCCCTCAGCTTCTTCAGACATGACTCTGTGGCCTGAATTTGAAGGCTACAAGTCAAATGAGGGAAAACAAGGGCGCTTTTATTCAACTTGGGATCTAATCATAGACTCTCAGGGACCTTCCATGCTATCTAAACCAGTGTTATCAAACTCACATAGAGATGGGGGCCAGTAATCCAGGCTTAGTTTTAAAATGCGATGTTATCTTTGTTTTATTGTATTTTTATTTATTTTGTTAAATATTTTCCAATTCTCATTGAGTGGGAGAGGGGCAGGCAGGAGGGAGAGAATTTAGAACTCAAAATTTAAAAAAAATGAATGTCAAATATTATTATTGTTCAGTCATTTCAGTCATGTCTGACTCTTCATGACCCCATTTGGGGTTTTCTTGGAGTGGTTTGCCATTTCCTTCTCCAGCTCATTTTACAGATGAGGAAACTGAGGCAAACAAGGTTAAGTGACTTGCCCAGAGTCACACAACTAGTAAGTGTCTGAGGCTGGATTTGAACTCAGATCTTCCTGACTCTGGGTCAGCTCTCTATCTACTGCACCACCCAGGACCTCTCTACTTTTGATCCATAAATTAAAACAGCAACAAAAAAAATCCAGACCTTTTACAAATGAGTTTCCATTAAACAACAGCTGTATTTGTGAAATAAGTTTTTAATTTGGGTCAGATTTTACCTTTGTCTGTATAAGTTTTGTCTGATTTGATTCCAGCTGGTTGAGATCTTTTTGGACACTCCCATCAACCAGGTAAATTATCATGCTTAGCTTGGTGTCATGTACAAACCTGGTAGCCATGTCATCTCCCTCTGCATCCAAGGCATTGATAAGAAAATGTGACAACAGCACAGATGTCTGCCCAGATGCCCTGGGTCCTCCACGGGGGACCTCGTTCCAAGCTGTTATCCTCAGGGCAGTCAATGACTGCTCCCTCTTGGGTTCCAGTTGCTCAGATGCTCTCTGATTATGTCCAGCCATCCTGGTACATAGGGCACACTCTTTATTTTGTCCCTAAGGCTAGCGTGAGTGAGGAACTTTGCCTTATCTTTTGTTCATGTCTAGGTCAGCTAATATCTGTAGCTTTGCTCTGCCTACCAATTTAGGGAGCTGTCAGAGAAAGACTGAGGTCAGCCTGCTCTGACCTTTTCTTGATGAAGCCATGCTGGGTTTGCTGTCTCTTTTGAGACATTCACCAACCATCCCTTTCATAATTTTATTTGATGGGGGGAGGGAAACTGGACTTGTGACTTCATTGGCATAGGGACTCCCATTGGGGAAGTTTGCTCTATGAATACAGGGCAGTTCCTACTCTGCGACTGAGCCTTGGAGAGTTGTCTCAGGCACCGAGAGATTAAGCCACATGTCCGGGGTCAAAGAGCTGGCATCTGCCAGAGACAGGAGCCTTTCTGTAATACATTTTAGCGTTTGGCCAGGAATCAAAAGCTGTTGGCCTATGGGATTCATACTGATTTTAAGAGTATCTGAAGATAGGTAGATAAAGCCTGGAGTCAGGAAGACCTGAGTTCAAATCCAGCCTTGGACAACTTATTAGCTGGGTGACTCTGGGCAGATCACTTAATCTCTGTCTGCCTCATTTATAAAATGGGGATAATAATAACACCTACCTCCAGCATTGTCATGACGTTAAATGAGAAAATATTTATAAAGTACTTTGTAAACCTTAAGGTGCTATAGAAACATTATCATTTTTACTATGTTTTGTTTTAGAGTAGCTCAGAAAGAAGATGGGAAAAAGCCACAGAAAAAGAGGACTATAGATTTAGGTCGAGAGCGAATCTCAGAGGTCACCTAATCCAACATCCTCATTTTACAGGGGAGGTAAATGAGACCCAATGACTGGTCCAAGGTCATGTAGAAACTAAGGGTGGATTACATGGATACTAGGAAGGTGGATTTTGAATCGAAGTCTTGTACCGATAAGAATCAATATTCCTTCCCCTCTCCTAGAGGTGCTTCTTATTCTTATTATTGTTTCCCTTTAGTGGAGACTCTTTCATTTAACCTCTCAGCCTCACTTTTCTCATCTGCAAAATAGGCATAATAATAACACCTATATCATGGGGTTGTTATGCAGATCAAATGTAAACACATATGAAGTGTCCTGCAGACCCAAAAGTGCTATATAAATGCTAGCTGTTATTGTTATTATTAGTAATAATAATTGTGATGATAACTTTACCACTAGATGTCAGATAGTGAGAATGAACTGGTTGGAGGGGTGTGTGTGTGTGTGTGTGTGTGTGTGTGTGTGTGTGTGTGTGTGTGTGAAAGAAGGGGGAACAGAGTCTTGAAATGATCTCCTTTGTCTTGCTGAGTGAAATACAACATTACACCATAACATGGTTTAAGACTCTGAAGATGAAATGCCCTGTGTATATGTAAGTACTAAGTGTTCCTCTTCTCCCCCAGGACTGTATTTGACTCATTATGCTGACACAGCACGAGCAAATTAGGGCATTTCCATGCACTTGAATTCCTGCCTAAATGATGAAAAGTACAGCCCTTCCCCAGAGGATCCAGGGCTGCTTGATTTATGGGAATGTGGGA